ACATAAAATAATAATTCTACTTACAGTTTACACATTTTCCATTGTAAGAATAATCTTTACATTCTATGCAAATCTACGATCTAGAACGAAAATTGAAGATATTTCAGTACTGAATTTCATTTTATTTATTACAACTTCGCAAATATCATCATTCCATTTAACATTCTCAAGACAAAATGCTTAACTATAGTAAACTATCAAAGTATTAAAGTATTGTAATCTTTGGTTATATAAATTATCATTTCATGCAATTATATTACATTTGTTGAATTAATGATATTAACCCTTTGTTACCTGAGTTAAAATTTAAAAAAAAATGTTTTCTATAATTTTTTATTAAATTTTAACAATAGTTTCAATGAAAAAAATGTTTGTAAAGTCAAGTAATTTTAAGCTTAAATCATGTAATAAGTGAATTATAGTGATTTAGATTACAAAAACGGATCAATTTTCATATTTATATATTTAGTAACAATATTATTTTATAAACTAATTTCGTAGTATTCTGCTAACAAATTTTCTTTTCGTTAAAACGTAAAAAACAAGAAGTAACAAGTATTACTTGAATGTAGGTTTTTACTCACTTGGTGTTTCCAATTGAAAAACAAATCATTTTTGTACCCAATATAAAGATTACATTAAAGTACCAACAAGTATTTGGGTCTGTTTCACGTCTCTTTATAATTTAAATAGTGACATAAATGTCCGATGACAGAGAGTTAATATTTATTCGAAATTTCTTAAATAATTGCATTCTAAAATTCTTATATATTAACTTAAAGTGAAGATACGTTCATTAACTAATGTTTTTTTTTCTACTCAGTTCTTCCGTTACAGAAATGTTCACGTTGGTGGAAACGCTCAAATAAGGTGTGATGAGGTATTACTCGTTGTAGGCATTCCTTCATAAAGTACACTTGCTTTTAAAACAATTGCCATCAGCGAGACCATATAGAAAATGTGCATATTACAAATCTCATCATTCCTGTAGTTACTCACTCATTTCACCGCTACAACAATATATAGAAATTGGATTCTTTTCAAAAGTTTTTATAACTGTAAATATAGTATAATAAGTTATTTATTCCAATTGAATAGTTTAAATACAAATGAACAACTACAAAAATTTGATAATTTTAGTATTTTAATTGAAATATTTCCTAAATCTATTGAAATTTAAATATTCTCATAATTATTAATTGTTTTCTGTACAGTTTATTGGTTTACATCAACATTCATTTTGGAAAATAACTGTAGAAAAAAATAAAAAATCTTGCTGTTTCTATTAAAATTTTGAAAATATTTAAAAGTTTCACAAAGTGTAAAATAATAATGATTTTCTCATAATAATTAATTGTTTTTATTGTAAAATAATTCGTAATAAAATAAAATTTAAAATAATTACAAAATTAAATTAAAAAAAAAACTTACTTTTTCTATTAAAATTTGAAACTTTTTCTTAGTGAAAATATATTAAAAATAGTGCTGATTTATACCAAAATGAAATAAATATAAAAATTTAATACATGTAGCAAATATAAATAAAATTTAGATAAAATTATATAACAGATTGTTGCATTAATAATAGAATTGTTTATATTTATAAATTACATAATTGGAGCATTTCCTACAACATTTATTGTTCTTAAGTAATCAAAATATCGGTTCTCTAATTAAAGGAATTCTTTCCACTGATTCCAATACAAGATTAATTCATTTGGAAGCCTTCTCATATTACTAGCGCCGGAAGGTCCAAGACTTTCTCCCAGTATATCACATATTGCATGAACAATTATACCTTATCTAGATCGAACAACAACTATTCCATGTAAAAAGAAACTATTTACAAAATAAAAAAAGAGAATACCAGTATCCAATTCAAGCTCACTGCAACAACACCAACTCGTGTGTAAACTACACAATTATATATTTTTCCTAAATAATTGACGTCATTATCATCGCAGATATCTACGTCCTGTTTTGTTACATATTACTGCTTACTGCTGTTTTGTTTTATTATTGTTTGGGGTTCCAATTTGTAAGCCGCCGTTGCATGTCGATCGGTGGAAAAGATGATATTTACCGAACAAATTACAGATACGAATCTGCCTGTTCTGAAATTGTCCAAACACGCCCTGTGCTCTTTCAATTTATATGTACGTTTTCCCTTCATTTTTTCAGTTTGTCGTTGTACTTTGTGGTATGGTATATTTATTTTTCTGTACACTATCAGACGCATCTAAAACACTTATTCAGTGGTAGAAGGGACAGCGCGCGATTTCAGTGGACAGATAACAAAGTGTATCAAAGGCAAACTTTTGTAATTGCGAAAATTATGACGATTTTCCGAAGAACGGAATTATGACTAATTGCTTCAACTTATTTCTGTATAGGATAAACGCACTGACTAGTAAAAACAAATGTGAACTAATCTTACTTTTCTAATTGACTAATGCTATAACTTTTTGTATGGAAATACGTATTGACTATTAAAAAAAAGTAAACTAATCTCATTTTCCTAATTGACTAATTTAACTTGTTTTTGTATTGAAATACATTACATTACATTAAACCTTGTTGTTTTTTCTATGGATCTGATTGATTAAATAAAATCAACCAAACAAAACTGAAGTTCTGGTAATTAATTTTTATGATTGGTCAAAAATTTTAACCTTTGTCAAATTCACTTTTAAATTATACGCATTATAGAATGAATACAACTAATTATATAATTAATTAAAATGCATCAACCAAAACTTACGTTCTGTATAGGATAAACGTACTGACTAGTAAAAACAAATGTGAACTAATCTTACTTTTCTAATTGACTAATTGCTACAACGTTTTGCATGAAAATACGTATTAACTATTAAAAAATAAACTAATCTCATTTTTCTAATTGACTAATTTAACTTGTTTTTGTATTGACATAATGTGAAATTATTGAAATCTTAAAAATAATCAATTTTATAATTATTTTATTAATTATACTTTGTTGTTTTTTCTATGGATCTGATTGATTAAATAAAATCAACCAATCAAAAATGAAGTTCTGGTAATTCATTGTTATGATTGGTCAAAAAAATTAACATTTGTCAAATTACTTTTAAATTGTACGCGTTATAGAATGAATACAATTAATTAAAATCCATCAACCAAAACTTATGTTCTGGAAATTCATTGTTATAATTGGTCCATTATTTTAACAACTCTGTAATATAATTTGTTTTTTAGTTGTAATCATTATTAAATTAATTGAACTTACTACATGAATAATTAATATCAGCCAATCAAAACTTACGTTCTGAAAATTCAGTGTTATGATTGATCCTTCATTTTAACATCTCTGTAAACTCTGTTTAACATCTCTGTAAACTTAATACTTGAATAATAAAAATTAGTATTATTATTATTATTACGCATTATTAAATTAATCCAAGTTATTACAAAAACATTTAATTAAATAATAGAGTTAATCTTAAAAAAAATAGAATTATTATAAAGTTACATAATTTGTACTAAATTCTAAAATAGAAATATTCAAATAATAATTGTTTTAAATTGTGTTAAATTTGAAATATTCTTAGTTTTTAAACATAATTTTGAACTTTCTTGAGAATTCCTGATTTTTTTTAAATATTAGGTTATTATATATGCAACTTCTCGTACAATTATATCATATAATTATCATATTTGTAACATGATTAAATATTTGTATCAATACTTCATGATATTATTAGTCTTCTAAACTTTAAAATCTTATAATTAATTATCTAATATAGATTTTACACATACACTTGTATACTATATAACCAAACGTACTTATTTTAAAAATCCATATATTTTTTATTATAACTCATAAAAATATATAGCAGGGGTGGCTAAACCGACGTTCGAAATCCTGACGTTCGAAATCCCGAATGTATCGAAATCCCGACTATGTCAAAATTCTGACTACATAATCCCGATAATCAAAATCCTGACTATATCGAAATCCCGACAGTGTCTTTTATTATTATAAATTTCTATAATAACATTTTTATGGTAGTCGGGATTTCGATATTGTCGAGATTATGGTAGTCAGGATTTCGATATTGTCGGGATTATGGTTGTCGAGATTTTGACATAGTCGGGATTTCAATAGACGGCCTTTCGGTTGTCGGGCTTGCGATATAGACCCGTCTTGTATCATATCTATTTGTCAATTAAAATAACTCTTATACATATTTCTGTAATGTATTAAGAATAAAATCTAAATTAATTATAGTTAAGAATTTATAGAAAACATGAAAAGATACGTAAGAATTCATATTCTTACCTTAAATTATTATAAAGAATATATAACTTCTTTGAAGATCTCAACAAATTTAAGTCACACAAAAGCACTATTACAAAAAGTGTTAGAATTCTAACGTTTGTCAAAATTTATTGAAACAAAACGAAATTAAGCATGGCTGTTTACGATGTATATTTTTTTCCATTCAAAAAGTCAAAGATGAATTCAATTAAAATGTTCATAAACACTCGTAATTTGCAAATCTTAAAGGAAAATTTTAAAATCTTAAATGTTGTGCATCAATCAGCATATTTAAATGTAAAAGTTTAATTGATTCTTTGCCAATTCTCGTTGTATATGAATGTATGAAAAAGGATTGTCCACTTTTCTAATATAAATTGCATTCCATCATAAATATCAATTGTTTCATTAAAGCAATAATTGAAACATATAGAAAAATGCAAGAAAATAGAAGATATTTATACACATTCACATTTAATAATTTATCAATAAATACAATATCTAAAATAATTATTTTTTTTTCACATCAATATACATTATTTCAGTATTGACCAAATATAGATTAGAAATTGTTTATTTTTTCTTCTTTTATATTATTGAATTGAGTAAACAATAGGAAAACCTCAATCTGGAAAGGTCGTTTCATTATGCACGAGGATCATCCATAGCTGACGTGTGTTGGAAGGTAAAAAAAAAATAATAATTGTAAAAAGATATAGTAACGATAAAAAGGATGAACGCACGTTTAAATGCCCTAATAAATAAATTAATTCACATAACTAAAAAAATGTTCTACAACTCGGTATGTATAGGCTTCAATTCCTCTATCCTCTTGATGTACTCGGACTTCTCGATGCACCCGGTGCAGTCCTCGCCCCAATCGTTGATGATCCTCTTCAGGTCCCTAACTTTGAGTTTCTTCAGGTCGACGGTTTTCAGATCGATCGGCACGTCGTAGCGCAGATCGCAGATCTGCGCGTCCTTCTTCTTCAGCTTCTCGCAGATCTTATCCGAAGGCATCGACCACGACAGAGGCTTCGACATCTCACCCAAAATTCCTGTAGCGCTCTCCTCCAAACCACCCAAATAGTAACACTGAAATTACAACAATCATAACTAACAAATCATTTCAATCAAAAACATTGAAGGCATGTTAATGTGAAAAATCTTTAAAACCACAATTATTCTTTTATACTCACAAATCTGTTTTCCTTATCCCTGGCTGTTTTACAATACTTCTTGAATTCAGCCTCAATTTTCTTGGGGTCTGACTTCTGTGAACTGTCCAGCTTCGCAGACAGCTTGTCCAAGATTTTGACACAAACTATAAAGTAGTAAAAAAAAGCCTTTGTTTAATATTCTGCTTTCAATTGAAATTATAAGATAACTAACCTTCGCATTCTCCAGCTTTCAATGAGCTGACTGCAGCAATCGCTGCGAAAAGCACCAAAAGGCATACCTGAATCTCCATGGTGTTTAATATAAAATCACTTAATTTAGAATACAGTTCCTGCAAGAAGAGAGCAAACGTGAATAAGGTTATGCCGACTGCGAATATTGAGTTGAAAGTCTCTGAATTTGAGAAACTAATTGAATGTGTTGCTTACCTGAGTGCTTTTGCATGTAATGTTAGTTTTAAAAGTGTATTAAACTAATATAAAAATAACGTTCCTCCTTTAACACGTTGACAGGAACGAATGAATGCGTTTGACACACACACGCCACCGCGATGGCTTTGATTTGCCATCGGGCGCCGACAAAATTTGGCGCTCCCCGATTGGCCCACGTCTATTGACAGTTCCGAAGGAGCGGCAAATTCAAATCGGAACGTTTACACACAAAGGTCGCTGAAGAAAGCAGTTCGTGCAATTAATCATGAATTAATAAAATATCATTTATTCTTTTTATTACTCTAAACATGTACAAGACGTTATTCCATTGTACGCACTTCGATTTCTTTTAATTTTTGAACAAAAAAAAAGTATTGTTACATCAACTTCTGCACAACAGATATTAATATAAATATGTACATATATTTTTTTTTTCTTAGCTATATTATTTTCTTAATACATCGCCGAAATCACAGAATAATATTTTTTTTCCCTTCTTTTTCTTGTTTAAACTGAAGATTATAATAATAGTGTAAATGCGCAGCGAATTATTTCATGCGCTGCGATTAAAGGAAGTAAACTTAATAATCGTTTTTCTTTGATAAAACAGAGAAATATTGTAAGAATTAATAAAGACATGTTTTAGATCTAATCGTTCCCGTCTTTGTCCTTCTCTGGATCGGGAGCTACTAATTCTGAAGTGTCATCCACTTCTTTGCCGTTGCATTCGTCTTCACAATAGTCGGGATCATCCTCTTTACTGTTTTCTGCTTCAAATGAAGCGTCGTTTGGTGTTTCCTGGGTTGCTTCCATAGGTGCATCAGAATCATCTTTATGTTGATCTGAGGGTTCTTCATCTTTGTCGTGAGCTTCTGAATCTTCAGTGATATTATCCTGCGTTGTTGATAATTGGCCGAAAGCGACTTCGTTCTCGACTATATCAAAATCTTCGTCGATGGGTTCAGATTTAACATTGACAATATCAAAGTGATGTTCAGATTCGCGCGGTTCGTCCTCCAACTTCATGAGCTTATCGTTTGGATCGTCGTATTCCATGTGGTAATATTTCGGGGCTTTAACGACCGGTCTTGATTTCGTTCCTTTGCGAAGCACCAGAGGTGGCGGTGACTAAAAACCAAATCAATAAATTAAAAATACTAATTACAATCTTGTGATGATAAGTCTTACTGCTTCGCGTTCTTCGGGCTCTGAAGATTTTCGCTTGAGTCGCCTTTTAGGTAGAATGCGTCTCGGAGGAATCACATCCACTTTGCTCCTCTCCGCAGCCAAAGACTGTTTTCGACTTAATTCAGTTTTGGGTAAAATCTTTCTCAGAGTGGTGGGCTCTTCGAAGAACGTTGGTTTCAGCAGCGACAACGGATCCACGTCCTTGTTTACAGCCAATCTCAGCGGTGGCATGGCTTTCAGAACTTTCATGGGCATAATCGGAGTGGGAATCGATACTGGAATTGGAATGGAAGTGCTTTGCAACGATGACTCATTACTACTAGCTCTATCGTCCTTCTTTTCGCCATTCTGCTGCGGCTTTTTACCAGTCAATCCTTTGATCTGATCAAATCATCAAAGAGTTAATAAAATCATTTATAAATACAAGACTAAAACTACCTTCAATATTTCAGCGACTTCAAGAATTTCCTGCAATTTCGATTGTTCAATGTGAACCTCTCCCACGTACATAAAATCGATCAACGATTTTAGGATCCAAAACGGCGTACCTTTCAGAAAGATAACGGGATGTTGAAACGGCGTGATGGTGCTCAGGATTTCATCGAAATATGAAGAACACGAAGACAAAATCAACTGAAATCAATTTAATTAAAACAAATATATATTTATTAAATCCAATTATTATTACCTTGTGACAACGGATGGTCTTTCCTTCGCAGCACAACGTAACGTCGACGTACTGCTCTCTTTCCAGCAGAGACGGAAAGCTCGATTTCATGTTGGTGTGATGGCTGTTCCAGCGAAGGCATACCTCGTCCGGTTCTTTTTCCTGTTCCGGTGGAGGCGGCGGCGGAGGCGGAAGCTGCTGCTGCATCGCCGCCGCTCTGGTGATTTTTATCGTTTGAGGAGACGGCTTTGGAGCTATCGGCTGCAGTTTTGTACTCTTCATACCAGATGGATTATTCAGCTTCAACAGTGAGGATGACGACGTGGATGCTGCTGGTGTTTCCTTCCCGCTTTGTTGCTTCTCCGGTAGAGAATCTGCGAACAAAACAACAGTCATTCATTAAATATTTACAATCGATTGATCTAAATACGAACAAGCAATGTATACAAAACTATTAAAATCAACAATGAAGGATTCATGTAACTCATAAAATATTTCATAGAACAATCAAATTGTTTGAAATTTTGTTTAATCATTAAACATGTTTTTGTCGTTTACCGATAATTTCTGCAATTACATATTGAGATAACACAACATAAAACGCTTAAGTTTTAAACACGTGTACTCTGATAATTAGCTGGAAATGTTAGATTAATTTCAATATGGAGAAAATGGGTCATCACTGACGCTGTTAATCCTTAAATAATTAACTTTGCTTGAGAACTATAGGTTTGCGGCAAATGCGTTGAGTTAAGTCGTTTCCGTTCGACATGGTTGAGTAAAACATGCGCGTGCGACGTTCGTCATCTGCGTGGAGCCTGTTGAATAACGGACGGTCGAGCTCGTCGTCATCCGTCGGGCCCGTGCATGAAATCAAACTCACATTTGGTCCTCCTCACTTGCTTCAGCTGCTTCCATTTGATTTTGATCTCCTGCAATGTCCTACCGCACACGGACACCCTGTTCACAGCCTTAAGGACCTCCAGCCAAGCGCTCTCCCTTTCCATCGGAGTCACGTTCGGCGAGAGCCGTCCGAACAGCACGTCCTTGTACTCCGAATAAACTTTCTCCAGGGCGTTAATCTCTTTCGGCGTGAAATTCGCCTTCCTGTTCCTCTTGAGCATGCTGAAGTGCGTATCACCATCGTCTTCACCGCGACCGGACATACCGGAACGCGTCGCCTCTTGGCCAAACGAAGCGCGGTACGCTCTGTACAGCTTCTTTCTCTCCCGATGGTATTGCATGTGTACAAGCGGCGTGACCGAGATTACCAAATTATTGTTGTTGTTGTTATTGTTGTTACAGATGGATGAAGATGAGGAGGAGACAAGTCGGGCACTCGCGTAACCAGAAATCAGGCTAGTACCGAGACCGGACTAGCTGTAGTAGTAATGCCACGTCTGCTAGATCCGCGCTTGCGTAACTACTTGTACTAATACTAGAAGCAAATACAGAGAGTGCAGAGTGTAGTAGTACTAAAACTCTCTATCGATCGGCAGCAATAAATAAATATTAATGCACCGTGGACAATTAAACGCTGTCCGCCGCTCTCGCTCCGCCTTTTTCCAGCCGCACCAAAAACCAAACCAACTTTCCCAGATCATAAAAACATTGATAACTCCAACAAAAAGTCAAAATAAATATTTATAGTTTGGATCGAAGGGACAGCAATAATGGCAGCTGCTCGAATCGTGCCGAACGCCCGTACACAAATATAGATTACTTACATTAAGTAACGCTACAAAGTTTCCAATGTACGTTTTGTTTTGTTTGTTTGTTTGTTTATCCTTTAGAAACGTAAACAACTGCAAAAATATATACTTTCACTGGTAACGGTACGACGCACGCTTGAACTTGAAATTTTTAGTCTGTTATTTTTGTTGTTACTTCCTTGTAGTCTTGAACTTGAATACCGATTTCTATTGGTGAGCCAACGATTCGGAATCTACCTGCTCGACTCCTTAACTAACTTTATCTGCATGCGCAGGACTTTTAACAGTTAGATAATCCGAGTTTGCTTTTTCTTTGAAACAAGTTAAAGATCTCGTTTCAAAGAAAAAGTCGTCGACCGATTGTGCTGCAAGGACAACAATTATGAATAGATTTTCAACTTTCTTCAGGAAATATTTTAAACTTAAAATGATAATACATAAACATATCAAAAGTAAGATTTTGATTTGTAAATCATGAAAATATTACAAATGTTTAAATGTCGCAATAATTTTCGAAAGTTTCTAAATATTGTATTGTAAATTCATTCATTTGCAGACTTATAATTAATAGAAAAGAATATAACATTTTTTTTTAAATGATTTACAGAAAATTAAGTATAATCTCTACAGAGATTTCTGCCAATGTTTAAGCAAAAATCACTATGCAAATATTATTTCAATTTAAAGTAAGATTTTTATTTGTATTTTATATCATAAAAATAATATCAATATTTTTCTGTTAACTATAAAACGCTTTTCGAATATTACTTGAAAATTAATTTTATAGATTTTTCATGATTTTTTTTAATTATAAGAAAAATATAATGTAAATGAATTTACAATGAAATTAAAAATATTGAATAATTTTTCCTGGATTTGAACATTCATATGATTATGAAATTGTATAGGTTTGTTTTTCTCAAACATAAAAAAAAAAACCTTACATTTTTCACTTTGCAGCATCAACATTTGTCTTTTCTTGAACTTCTCGTACCACGTCGTGGTAGCATGGAATTCCATCGCATTACGTGTCTTCTTCACCTTGAAGCTCTTGTAGATCTTCTCGGCTTGCGACCGAATCATGAGACTAGTCGGAGTTTCCTTCTGCTCCAATATCCACAGGGTGAGAGCCTTCTCCATGCGCTCTATGTCGTGCACTTGCGCAACCGTTTTCCCTCCGTAAATACCATAAACTCTAGTCCTGTTGAGATGCTCTTTCCACTTCATTGACTTCACCGTTAACTCGCTTACACCGAAACAACGAGCAACGGATGGCACGCTTTTACCAGTTGAGATCATGTTCATCATCTTCAGCTTTTCGCTGAAGCTCACAAAACTCGCCATGAAAACTGTGCACTGAAGTGCATTGAAGCACCGACCGCAGAAGACTAAATCTATCAGACTTATAGAATCTGCGCGCCACAGCTGAGCGAGACACCATCTTGCGGGGAATGCTCGAGGATTCAAGTATGAAGAAAATTTGAAAAAATAATTATCAAATAATAATAAATATAAAAATTAGTTTGTACATTTAAATTATGAAGAAATCAATATTCTAAGGTTGCGAGTAAAACGATGAGTTTGACCTAGTCATTGGTTGTTACCATTGATTAAAGACACGTACATATAACGATGAGGCTTTTATCCGTCGGTAATCGTCGCTTTGGAGGCTCCTCGATTGTTGCAGTTGATGGTTCAACAGTTGTAGTCGCTTCCTTCTGCACTTTACTCTGATGATACTTATCGCGAACCTTCTGCGGATGCAGCCTATTCAAATGCTCGATCAGATTCGTAGTGTTGTTGAAGAACTTGTATTTCTTGTTGCATATGTCGCACGTCACGAATTTCAAATCACTCGACCTTTGGAAATACTTCCAGACGAAGGACTTCCTCGCACCGGTTTTCATCTTGTACACGAAACTGTTGTTAGGATAACTTTAAGGTCGAAGGTAGAGCAAAAGCGTCAAACAACGCTCGCAAATGTTAGGAAAGCTCGTCGGGAGCTGCGGATGCGAATGATTGGGTTTTTCCATTACGATGACGACCGAATCCAACATCTGCGCAAACTTGCCGCCTCTTTCACGGCCCTACCGACGTCGACGAGTCTCCACCGGAGACCCACGACATTCATCATCGGCGAATCGTGGAATCTTTATTGATTTCGACGACTCGACTTTCCTAAACACGCACACTCGAAACGTCCATTTCGAGTAATATAATCGATTTTATTCGGCCTTCAAAAGAGCACTAACAAACGTGATTTGCAAATCATAATTTCAATCAAATATTACTTTTTTTACTCAAGTATATTCAAATGATGCCTTCAAAATAGTTTAGAAATGATAGACCTCGAAAATAAACAAATTCAAGTTGTAATAAGAATCATATAATTTTTTTTTATTATTTTTAAAGCAATCTATCATCTGACATTGATATCTAGCCTTATGAATGTCGTAAAGTAAGTTAAAAAGGGCACTATAATAATAATTAATGAAGTGAAGATCCAGCAACCCCACTTCACATATACGTTAATTTTTTTTGCACTTTGCAGCAGTTAAAATTTTATTTTAGTTATTGTATTAAGTTTTTTTTTTAATTTTTATAATTTTTTGTTGCAATAAATATTATTATTATTATTATTATTAAGAATAATTTATAACATTATTAAATAAACCAGGTATTTACTTACAAAGAAATGATCAATTTAAAAAAATTTCATATTATCAAAAAAATTTGCAAATTTGTTATACTAATAAAGATTAAGTAGAAAACATGTTTCATTTTTTTTTTCGAGAATAATCAAAAACTTTCAATTTGCTTCATTTCTCGAGAAATACTTGTTTTCAACTTTTGATAGCAAACGAATGTAGACTACAAATATCAAAAAAGATATGAAATTCATCAATATGAAAAAAAAATAAACGAACAGCAAAAATTTATATTTAAAATAAATTTATGAAATTAATAAATATTATAAATATCTTTGGTTTTTCTATTGAAACTTGTCTTTATAATAAGTTAACTGAATTTTGTGTTTATATAAATAAATTTCTTGCAAATCTATTTTCGTGGCAGATTTCAATGAGTAATGTATAGTTAGTGAAGTAAACAAAGATTGTGTGAAAATGAAAACGAAAAGAACGTAATATGCATATCGTAATGGTTTTTCCGAGAAACAATTCCATTTACGACTTCTTGATAATCTGTAGAAGCATGTGCTCTAATACTATAATACGAACTTTATATATATATTTGCAGTGTTTTCAACAACAAGATCTTGAGGTTATGAAATGTTATTGTTAATAAAATAATTAGAATATTTTTGACAGACGTACGTATTACAACGATCGGTTCTAATTGTTGATGGGATTTGAGTGAAGGATGATACTGTTGCTCAACGGAATGCAGACGATTCAAATGTCCAATAAGGTTAGTCGTGTTGTTGAAGAACTTGCATCTCTTGTTGCAGATGTTGCACGTCACGTACTTCTTGTCACTGGATTTTTGAAAATACTTCCAGACGAATGAGAGTTTCGTGCCCGGTTTCATCGCGTCCAATCGACGTTTGGATTAATTTTGTGGATACGAACGCACGGGGATTCCCCTGACGACTGCGACCGAAGCGCGGAGATTTGCGGAAGGCCGTCCGCCGCCTCCGGTGAGGTATTTTTGCCGCCGCTGAGTGGCGCCGGTTGTCGCCGATAGCGTAAATGATATATGCCTATTGATTACAAACATCTAAAACTGGGTTACGATCTCGAGAACTACTCAAAATTATCGAATGATGATATAACTATAAGAATTTTAAAAATATTGTGCTTTTTTTTGTAAACGTACATATTCCAACATCTGGTTTCCGGGAAGATATTTTGGTTATTTTGGTATCAAACCCTTCGCGCATTGTCACGAAGTGCAACCGATTCAAATGCCCGATGAGGTTGGTCGTGTTGTTGAAGAACTTGTACTTCTTGTTGCATATGTTGCAAGTCACGAACTTTCTGTCGCTCGACTTTTGAAAATACTTCCAGACGAACGACATCTTCGTACCAGATTTCATTTCAGTTTTACAAATATGTAGACAATAACGACCGTTTGGGCAATCGAAGAGATGTTCGATGATCGATTCGAGATTGCAGCTCGAATTATTTCGTTTCGAATTAATTATAATTATTTCGATGAAATTATTAGTTGGCTATAATTAGAGGCGCAGCTGACCCTCAGACAATCCTTCTGTCGGGCACCATGACAACAGGATTTCGAGAGGAGGGGATATTTCCTGCACAAAAAACCAGACAAAAATACTCCCTCCCACTTTGTTCATCGATCCTGCACTTCCCTCCATAACCTTATTCAACTGTTTTCATATTATACACACTTTTTGGATTTCCCACAAAAAACATATAAATTAATGCAATTTCAATTAAAAACGTTAATTTCATAATGATTGCATAAGATTTTAATAATAAGTTTTAAAATTGAATTTTCTCATTTAAGCAAATCTAAATTTTAAAAATAGATTTTGATTTTCAAAAAATATCTATGATAAAATGTACTAATTTGTACTTATTCTTATAAACACAATATTTGAGCATTATATTTAACCAATTTCTAACAAAATGTAATCAAAAGAATGAAGAATTAGAACATAATGTATAAATTGACAAAGAAAAATGTAAAATTTTTGCTTTAAGAAATTCCAATGGTAAATTGAAATATAAAGTTAATATTGTAAATATTATATGAATTTTAATCTTCACAATATTAA